GCCAGAATATTTTTTAAGTTGCATGAAGATTATTTCTGAAATGATTTATCATTTTATTTAATCTGATACTGTGTGGTAAAAAAATAGAGGGAATTTCTACAATACATATTTATCAACTATATTTTAGATGCTTTTTTAATGAGAGTGGTGGATTTAATAAAGTATAGACAAGACTTAGAGTTTCTATACTCTAAAACAAATATATGCAGATAATGAAATTTGGGGGGCGGGGCAGGAAGTAAATAGGAAATAGGACCCTATATGTAAATGTCATCATTGTACTTAAAGGACAGCTCATATCATATCATGTGATAACTAAGGCCCCAAAAGTAAACTGCAAGTAATATCAGTGAATATGGCAGAGTAAGCAGCTACAAGAGCCTGTGCCCCTACAGAAACATCAAGAAATCAAGCAAAACTGTCAGAATGAACTTTGTCAGAACTCTGGGAAACAGTCTAAGGTTTACAGCAACCAAGTGAATACTGAGTCAAAATAAAGAAAACCGAAAAATGGCAGGAAAGATTTGTGATGTTTTTACTTGTCCTTGCCCCAACTCCCTCCCTGGCTAAGCAGTGGTGTTGTTTTGTTTTGTTTTTTAATGAGGAAGATTGGCCCTAAGCTAATGTCTGTTGCCAATCTTTCCAAATTTTGCTGAGGAAAACTGGCCCTGAGCTAACATCTGTGTCCAACCGCCTCAATTTTGTATTTGGAATGACACCACAGCATGGCTTGATGAGCGGTGCATAGGTCCACATCCAGGATCCAAACCTACGAACCCCTGGCTACCGAAGCGGAGCGCACAGACTTAACCACTATGTCACAGGCCAGCCCCAGCACTGGTTTTAAAGATGGTAGTTAGCTTCCCTAGTGTGCAACCCTAGTCCTTGGTTCCCGAGGAAACAGAGTGCCTTACTCACAAAGAATTGTGTTTGTCTGTTCTAACCTTTCCAGGAAATCCCTGGGGGAACAAGACATGGCACCTGACTTTGTTTTGCCGAACTGGGAACTCACTCAAAGCAGAAAAGTGGCAGGAATTCCTTGAAAATACTGTAAGGTAAACAAATAACCCACAGCTACCTGGGACAAAGACTACGATTGAGGCATACAATATAGCAACCAAAGCCAGGGAGAAAAAGCTGGGGAGAGACGTGTTTTGGAAAATAAGGCATGTATAGCATTCATGTATACTGGGGAATTTAAACAACCATGTGCATGCCCAGAAAAGACCTAATAAGATACTTTCACCTCTGGCTGATCTGTAGGCTCAGGGCAAGCAAGCAGTTAATAATCCAGAGGTGAAAAATGGCCTGGCAAAGTGTTAAAGGAGTACCCCAGCAACAGCCAATCTGCAAAGACTGAGAGGTTTTCGGGTACCCTTTCCAATTTTTTTTCTTTCTCTCTCTTTTTTTTTTTCTGTTCTTTCTCTCATTGTTTTTTCTTTTTTTGTAGCTTGGCATTCAAGTTAATCTCTGTCAAGACACCAGCTGAATACAAGCTAAAAGAATAGAGACCTCAGAGACCATATGTGACAAAGAATATACACTTCACAAAATTAGATCAAAAAGTTGCTAAACAAAAAGTTACAGCATACAACAAGCAATAAAAACAAACCCAGGGGAGGGTGGAGATTTGGATTTTTAGAGTTAGTACACTATGGTATTAAAAATGTCAAGTTCTCAACTAAAAAACTATGAAGTATGCAAGAAACAAGGAAGTACGGTCACTTAACAGGAGAAATTAACAGAAACTATCCCTGATGAAGCACAGACATTGGCACTATTGGACAAAGACTTTAAATCAACTGTCTTAATAAATCAAAGGGCTAAAGGAAACTAGGAATATGACATATAAACAAATAGAGAATATCAATAAAGAGACAGAAATTATAAAAAAAAGAACCAAACAGAAATTCTAGAAATGAAAAGTGCAATAACTAAAATGAAAAACTCACTAGAGGATTTCAATTGCAGATTTGAGCAGGCAGAAGAAAGAATCAGTGAATGTAAAGATAAATGAACAGAGCCTAAGAGAACTCTGGAACACAATCAAGCATACGAACATCCACGTAATGGGAACTCCAGATGGAGAGGAGAGAAAGAAAGAGACAGAAAGAATATCTGTAGAGATAATGGACAAAAAATTCCCATGTTTGGTGAAATACATGAATCTACACATTCAAGAAGTTCAGCAAAATCCAAGAAGGATAAATTCAAAGAGATCCAAACAGAGACACATTACAAACAAATGGTCAAAAAACCAAGGGCAAAAAGAATCTGGAAAGCAGCAAAGGAGAAGCAACTCGTCACTTATACAATCTTCAAAATTGTTTCTTCAAAAAGATTAATAGTTGATTTCTCATCAGAAATCATGGAGGCCATAAGGGAGTGAAACAACATTTTTAAAGTCCTGAAAAGAACTGTCAACCAAGAAACCTATATCTGGCAAAATTATCCTTCAAAAATGAGAAGAATTTAAGATAGTCTCAAAAACACAAATGCTGAGAGACTTCATCATTAGTAGAACTGTCCTACAAGAAATGCCAAAGGGAGTCCTTTAAGCTGAAATGAAACGACACTAGACAGCAACTTGAAATGATATGAGGAAATATAGCACTCTGGTAAAGGTAACTACCTTGTAAATAAATAAGTCAATATTATTATATTTTTGGTTTATAACTCTTCTTTTTATTTACAATAGGATTTAAAAGACAAATGTATAAAACAATAATTATTATCTATGTTAATGGGCACACAATGTAAAAAGATGTAATTTGTGATGACAATAGCAATATAGGGGGGAGAGCAAAGTTTTCATATGCTGATGCTAAGTTCGCATCAATTCAAACTATGCTGTTATAAGTTTAGGATTTTAATTGTAATCCCCATGGTAACCACTAGAAAAAATCTTAAAAATATATACAAAAGGAAATGAGATGAGAATCAATATAATATAATACAATATATTAATTAAATAGAAAAGAAGGCAGTAATGAAGGAAATGAGGAATAAAAAAGCTATTACACATATAAAATCAAACAGAAAAATGGCAGAGGAAAGCCCTTCCCCATCAGTAATTACTATAAATGTAAATGAATTAACTCTCTAATCAAAAGTCAGAGATTAGCAGAATATATTAAAAAAAAAAAAAAAACATAATACAACTACATGCTGTGACATGAGACTCACTTTAGACCCAAAGACACAAATAGGTTGAAAGTGAAAGGATCAGAAAAAGATATTTCATGCAAATAGTATCCAAAAGAGAGCTGAGGTGGTTATACTAATATCAGACAAAATAGACTTTAATTCAAAAGTGCTACAAGTGACAAAGAAGGATGATTAGATAGACAGATAGATAGATAGATAAAAGGGTCAATACATCAAGAAAATATAAAAATTATAAACATATATGTACCTAACAACAGAGACCCAAAATATATGAAGCAAACATTGTCAGAATTGAAGGGAGAAGTAAACAGTTGTACAATAATTGTTGGATATTTCAACACCCCACTTTCAACAATAAATAAATACCTAGACATAAAGCCAATAAGGAAATAAGAGGACTTGAACCACACTAAAAACAAACTAGGCCTAAAAGACATAGATAGACTATTCCACCATCAACAGCAGAATAAACATTCTTCTCAACTGCAAATAAAACTCCAAATATATAAATCTCCAAAATACACCATATGTTAGGCCCAAAACAAGTCTCAATAAATTTCTAAAGATTGAAACATACAAAGTATCTTCTCCATCCACAATGGAATGAAGGTAAAAATCAGTAACAGACAGAAAGCTGGAAAATTAAAAAATACATGAAAATTAAACAACGTAATCTTGGGGCCGGAATGGTGGCATAGTGGTTATGTTTGCGTGCTCCACTTTGGCAGGCCGGGGTTCGTGGGTTCAGATCCTGGGCGCAGATCTACACGCCGCTCATCAAGCCATGCTGTGGCAGCATCCCATATACAAAGTAGAGGAAGATTGGCACAGATGTTAACTCAGGGACAATCTTCCTTAAGCAAAAAGAGGAAGATTGGCAACAGATCTTAGCTCAGGGCCAATCTTCCTCACCAAAAAAAAATTAAACAACATAATCTTAACCAACCAATAAGTCAAAGAAGAAATTACAAGAGAAACTTAGAAAATATCTTGAGACAAATGAAAATACAACACACTACAATTTACTGGATGCAGTGAAATTAGTGCTCAGAGGGAAATTTATAGCTGAAAATGCATATTAAAAAAGAAGAAAGATCTGAAATCAATAACCTAACTTTATACCTTAAGGACCTAGAAAAAGAATAGCAAGCTAAACTCAGAGCTAGCAGAATGAAAGAAATAATAAAAATCATTGCATAGATAAATGAAATATCAAGAATAGAAAACAACAGAGAGAGTCAATGAAACCAAAATTTAGTTCTTTGAAAACGTCAACAAGATTGACAAACCTTTAGTTTGACTGAGAAGGAAAGAGACTAATAAATGAATGAAATCAGAAGTGGAAGTAGGGACATTACTACCAACTTTAGAAAAATAAAAATGATTATAGAGAATACTATGAACAATTGTGCACCAACAAATTGGAAAACCTGGATAAAATGGACAAATTCCTAGAAACACACAAACTACCAAAACTGACTAAGGAAGAAATAGAAAATCTCAACAGACCTATAACAAGCAAAGAGATTGAATTAGTAATGAAAAACCTCCCAACAAACAAAAGCCCAGGACCAGATGGCTTCACTGGCAAATTCTTGCAAACATTTAAGGAACAATTAACACTAATCCTTCCCAATCACTTTCAAGAGATAGAAGAGGAGTGAACTCATTCTATAAGGCTAGGATTACTCTGAACCAGACAATGACGCTATAGAAAATGAAAACTAGAGACCAATACTGCTTATGACTGTAGGTCGCCAAAGATGCTCAACAAAATATTAGCAAACCAAACTAACAGTATATTAAGAAGATTATACACCATGACCAAATGAGATTCACCTCAGGAATACATGGGTGATTCAACATAAGGAAATCAATTGATACAATATACCACATTAATAGTAGAAAGGAAAAAAAAAAAGTGATCATCTCGATGTAGAAAAAGCATTTGACAAAATCCAATATCCTTTCTTCATTAAAAAAAAAGTCAAAACTAGAGATAAAGGGAAACTACATAAAACTCACTTGTGTTTATACTAATCCAAAGAAGACATAAGAAATCAAATCCACTTACAATAGCCTCTAAAATAATAAAATACCTGGAGATAAATTTAAGCAAAGAGGTGAAAGATTTGTACAATAAAAACTATAAACTATTACTGAAAGAAATTAAAGAAGATGTAAATAAATAGAAAGATATCCTGTATTCATGGATTGAAAGTCTTATTATTATTAGATGGCAACGTTACCTAAAGTGATCTATAAATTCAATGCAATCCCTCTCAAAATTCCAATGGCTTTCTTTTTGCAGAATTGGAAAAACCAATTCTCAAATTCATATGGAATTGCAAGGGGCCTCAAATACATAAAACAATATCGAAAAAGACAAACAAAATTGCAGAACTCACATTTACTAATGTCAAAACTTATTAGAAAGCCACAGTAATCCAAACAGTGTGGTACTGGCATAGGATAGATATACAGATCAACGGAATATAATTGAGAGTCCAGAATTAAACCCAAACATCTATGGCCAATTGAATTTCAACAAGTGTGCCAAGACCATTCAACATGGAAAGAACAGCCTCTTCAACAAATAGTACAACAAATAGTACAAATAGTACAACAAATGGGACAACTGGGTATCCACATGCAAAACAATGAAGTTGGACCCTACCTCACTCCATATACAAACTTTAATTCCAAATGAACAACTAACCTAAATACAGGAGCTAAAACCATAAGGCTCTTGGGAAAAAACCATAGGAGTATATCTTAATGACCTTGTATTTGGCAATGGATTCTTAGCTATGATACCAAAAGCACAAATGACAAAAGAAAAAATAGATAAATTGGACCTCTTCAAAATTAAAAAGTCTTGTGCATCAAAGGATACTAGTAAGAGAGTGAAAAGGCAACTCACACAGAATGGGTTAAAATATTTGCAAATCATGTATCTAGTAAGAGTTTAATATCCAGCGTACATAAAGAACACTTACAACTCAACAAAATAAAACAAACAATCCAATCAAAAAATGGGCAGAGGACTTGAGTAGACATTTCTCCAAAGAAGATATACAAATGGCAAACAAGCATATGAAAAGATGCTCAACATTAGTAGTCATTAGGGAAAAGTAAATCAGAACTACCATGAAATATCACTTTACACACATCAGGATGGGTATAATCAAAAACGTAAAATAAAAAGTGTTGACGAAGGTGTGGAGAAATTGGAACCCTCATAAATTGCTAGTGGGTATGTAATATGGTCACTCCTCAAAAAGTTAAATATAGACTTATAATGACCCAGCAATTCCACTGAAAGCTATATACCCAAGAGAAATGAAAACTAATGTCCACATAGAAACTTGTACACTAATGTTTATAGCAGCATTGGTCACAATAGTCAAAAAGTAGAAACTACACAAACGCCCATCAACAGACGACGTCCATCAACAGACGAATGAATAAACAAATGTTGGTCTATACACACAATGGAATATTATTCAGCCATAAAAAAGAATGAAGTAATGATACATGTAACAATGTAGATGAATCTCGAAAATATTATGATGACTGAAAGAAGTCAGACACAAAAGGTATGATCGCATTTATGTGAAATATCCAGATTGGAAAATCCATAGAAACAGAAAGCAGATTGGTGGTTGCCAGGAGCGGGGGCCGGGGGGGTGGGGCTTGGGGGCAATGAGAGAAAATGTGGAATAACTGTTTAATGGGTATGGGTTTCCTTTGAGGTGATGAATGTTTTGGAACTAGATAGAGGTGATGGTTGTACATTGTGAATGTATTAATTGCCACTAAAATGTTCATTTTAAAAAGATTAATTTTATGACAGTGGCTAGCATGTAGTAAGTTATTATTATTGCTATATGACATATTTCTGCAGATCAAAAGTGATTACTCATATCTATGAAAACTCAGATACTCCAGAATGGAATCTTAGGATTCTGTCTTATGGAAAGAGATTCTACTGGACATTACAGAAGCTGATGCCTGGGCCTACCAGGCAAACCATCAATACTAAAGTTATAAACTTGACCTTTATTAAACAGCTAGAAAAGGAAGTGAAATGTGCAGATAAACCAGAGATGTCAAAAAATGGGATCTAGAAAACAAACTTGTGCTGGGCACGCACAAAAAAATAAAAGGTTAAGGTGAGCTGTGGACAAAACATAAGAAGCCTAAATGTCAGAAAGATGCAGTGGGAAGAAGCACACATTCCTATCCACTGACCCTTTTTCTCTATTCCCCATGGTTACTGGATTAACTATTGGCTCCTTTTTTGGCATCCTGCTCACAAACCCTCGTGGTTTCTAGACAGCTGCCTAGTCTGCTGGCCATTCTGACAAAAATGGTCTGAGAACCATAAATTACAGTTAAATTACCCCATGCATCCTTTCCACCTACTGGAGTGACATGCTTTACAGAAACTGAAATATCTGGTATTTAGGAAGAATGAGTGAAGTGCTAACAGATCCATTTTTGAGGTCTGAGGTTTTATTCTTAAGCATCAATCATTCAGTTAGGAGTCAAATTTTAATTCACTAAAATTTAATTCTGCAAACATATATGGATCATCTATTATGTGTCCAGATCCATCCTAGATTTCAGGACAGGGACTGAGATCTGAGAAGGGATGTGCAAAGCCATGACAGTATGCTCTAGTGAGAAAAATATAGAGATAGAAGAAAAGGGATTATAGTCTCAGTTTCCTTGTGTCACAGGGGAACACTGTAAACCCTGACAAATGTAGCGGGCTGCAGTGAGGGTACGATTAAGAAGTAGAATCAAAAGTATCTCAAAAACTTTATAGGATAGTCTAGGGATGGCTAATACTTCTTCCTCCTGGAGGCAGTGATCATAACATTCCATCTCATCAAATCTGGATGTGATCTCAGAATACTTAACAGTCCTCAGGGAGCCACCATGAATTGATCAGCCTTGGCACATGAGTACATAAATAGATAATACGAATGAGAAGGAGTATTATCACTGAAAACTCAAAATGTGAACTAGATTCTGCAAATTTCCCCAAGATCACTGCAGCCCCTGCAAACTAGGAAAGGCTAGAAAGCCCCATTTTCCAGATCTTAGTTCAGCAGCTTCTACCCTGTCCAGGAGATATTCTCCTTTTATTGCTTCCTCAAATTAAAGACTTCTGCTAGAAATTAAATAATAATTACTAGAATCTACTGAGTGTGATATAAGCCAAGTACCATGCTAAACACTTGACATACCTCGTATGTCAACATTTAATGAAACAGTGAAAACAGGGACAAATACAGAATGTGATTTTCTAAAGCAGACACTATATTTCTGAAATGCTTTTCTAAAAGAAATGATGTCTGATATAGCAATAACTAACAGTAAATGAGGACTTTATAGCTTGCAACTGGATTTGATAACAAGATCATTGATTTGCTCTTTCAAACAACCCCTTGAGGCTGGTAAGGCAGCTGTTAATATCCCCAGGAGAGAAGAAGTGACTCACCTAAGTTCTGGTTACAAACAGCAGTGCAGGGTCTTCAACCCGCTCCCAGATTCCAAACACCACCAGATTTGACTTGCAGATGCAAAGAAAGTTGAGCAATGAGCCTGAAATTTAATAATTTACTGCCTAACTTCCCTTTCTGAGATTTGCCTTGCCTTTGGTTTTTGTAGGTGAACTCTGAAAGAATCTCCTGCAGATACCTACTTACATTCTCTTGATCTAATGCTAAAATTTTCAAGCAGTATTGGAAAATTAAAGTCATCTAATGCAAAATTTCCAAGCACTACAACTTTTTAAAAAAACTCATCTGCAAGGCAATAAGGAGCAGTGGTTAACAACTTGGATTCTAGAGCAAGTAAGCCTGGGTATGAAGCCTAATTACAATACAGTGTGACCTTGGGCAAGTTTTTTAACCACTTTATTCTAGGCTATAAAACGGGGATAATGGTATTAACTACCCCATAGGGGTGTTGAGAGAATTGAATGAGTTAAATATTAGTAAGTAAAGTGCTTAGGATAGGACCTGGAACATAATATGCACTCAATAAATGAAAATTATATTTAGCCAAAAATCTACTATCTTGTAAACTGTCCCCAGGAGTAAATTAATCTATTTGAGAAGTTGTATTAACTCCTTTTAAGTCTCCAGAGTGGCATTCAGTCCACTGTTTGCTCATTTCACCTCAAACTTGAAATGGTTTTGCTTTTTAAAATGAACAATTTTCCCATTTGAAGGGAAGAAATATATTACAGCTGCAAAGATAAGTTGAATGTTTCAAAGAACTATGCCTGGCCTCTTTCAGAATAAGACACGTGCAAGTCAAAGAGATGACTTTGTGAGAGATCAGCGGCAGATCTCAAGTTTTTTGGGGGGACAAAATGGCCTCTTTGGCCATTTCCCAAAATCTCAAGAGCACTGCCTTATTTGCAAGTGCATTTGCATGAATCTTATCAATACCAAATGTACTGACATATTTACTGGGTGCCTGCCTTTCTTGACAGATGAATAGAAATTGCTCTCTGTCGAAGTTCACCAGCAATAAAAGCCAGCAGCAGCTCATCAGTTGTTTGCAACCCACAGCTAAGGATAAGGCAGTGAGAACCACATTTCATGGTTTTATGGGCTATATTTGGCAACTGAGATTTGCCCTGAGGAATCCTACATTTAACCTAGAAATATTTGTGAGTAGAATCATTTCTTTCTTTCTTTTCTTTCATTCTAGAGGTCACTGCCACTAGAAAAATGACCAAACTGAGAAAGGAGTATAATAGATTTTCAACTTTGACTTAAGAAATTCTATACAGAAATTTTATATTCATAGAATATAGACTATCTAGATACATTGTAAAAATTGTTAATCCTTTCATTTAAAATTTTTTATTATAGCA